AAAAAGAAATGAAAGAAAGTGCAATTTGTTCTTATTATTTTTTTTTGTTGTGTTTTTACTACTGTTTCTGAAATATTAAAATAATATTAAATAATATTACGTAATAAGAAATTAAGAAATTTTTAAAACTACAATAAAAATTAATAAATTGAAAATATCATCTTTTGGTCTGCCGGTTTTAGATTCCTTTCAGATTCAATTTAGAATTACAGCGGGGACTACGTGTCTAAAGCCACACAAATCAGTGGCTAGCATTTGTCGAAACTAATTAATAATCCTGCTAACGTGAGTTTTTGCGGTTTGCAATTTTCTTAAAATACATATTTGGGCCCAAACGTATTCGTCACTGTGTGTGGAGTCCAAAACACTCGGTCGGAATGCCCCAATTATTTCCGCATAACTGCCTTTTAAGACCCATAATTATTGACTCTTGCCAATATTTTGACTCACTCGAAATGGGGGACTACGTGCCTAAGTCCACACAGATCCGCCAAAAACTTATTGCACATCCTGGCAACCTCTGCGGTTCGATCTTGACGTAATACATAGTACAAATTTCGCCAGAGACTATAGATGGGATGGGGATTTTTATTGGGCATGTCCAAAATTCGGCTGTGACGCGTCGCGCTCTACGCAAAATTCAAAACAAATAAACTTATTGACCGTCAAAAGTCCAAAACTCCAGTGACTCACTTGGCCGTCGGCAGTGGTGGGTTGAAATGAAATACGACAAAAAATGCAACTAGAAATCAATAAAAATGTCGAAATATTTTATGGGAAAACAAATGTCCCCGTTGAATGACGATAAAATGATCTAAGGAAACCTGTTGCACACACCCCGCCCCCTAAAAATTTCAATAGAAACGTTCTCTGTTCACCAGAGCCCTCCTCTTGTTGTGGCAGAGAAAAATATCAATTTCACTTGATTTTCTTTCCGCTGTCGCGCGAAACCCTAGACGCAGTCCGTCTCTTTTGAGAACCGCTCTGCATCTCTCTTTCTCGCCGAGTTGGATTCAGGTGAAGTTCACGACCCAGGATAGTTGACACTTTGGGAGTTTTGGTCCATTACCTCGATCTGGGGCCGCCGGAGAGTCGTCGGAACGTCGCCTTCGCCCCAAAAGCCTTGGCTTCGCTTACTCGCCACTTATGAGCTCGTAAATTATTAGTTTCAATTTTAAGCGGCGCATTGTGTTTCCTTTTCCAATCCATTTCCTGCTAAAGTTGTAAAAGAAGTGAGTGCCCTTCCACACGGGCGCCAACGGACTCGAAAGAGGATTCCCGATATCCGTTGGCACATAAAAAGATTTGTGTTGACGCCTTCGCCGGGCCTTGACTTGTAAAAGGCCCCAAGGGCAGGCCAGAGAGCCCACAAAACGTTCGATATGAATGCTTAATATTTTGGTTTTCTTCTGGTAGTAATAAAGTCGTATTTGGTTTGGCTTTCGTTCCTGTTCCACCTTTCTTCTGGTAGTAATAAAGTCGTTTGCAAGTCCCGCAAAACGAAAAAAGAAACCCAGGTGGTTAAGAAATTTCGGTCGAACCTTAGCGCCAGGCCCAGGGGCGATGGTTTCATTTTGCGGGTTAATTAGTTTGGCATTTAAAGTGTTTTCAAAAGAACTGTCAATACACTGAGGAGAATGCAGAAGGGTGTATTTTCTTCATTAATTGAACTGGGCCGGAATAAAGTGATGTAATTTTGTTTGGTACACAACTGACTACTATTCACTAGGCCTTTAAATGGATCAAAAGGATCAATTCGTTTAAACGTTTCTAGTTGATTTACCATAAATAAAACTCAAGTACCTTGAAGGATTCAAATTCAGACCCATCCAGATCGGTTGAAAGCGTCTTCAGGCTAGAAACTCTGTTTTGACTTGAAGAAAATAAGGCAAGTACTTACTTGCTATAGCTTTATATAGTATTTACAAGTTAAAAGCATGGCAGTCAAATCGAGATTTTGAATTCGGGTTGGCAAAAACATGCAAATAATTGTAAGATATATAATATGTATTATTTACTGCATTAGGAACGATCCGAACTGGCTCTCAAACATTATTTCTACAGACTGGCCACAACATTTATGCCACATTTTCTTTCTGTGGTCTCATGATACCATCGACTTGGCTTTCCTGGGTCTTTAGGCAAAGCGATTAGGTAATATTTTTCAGGGGGTTGGGCTTGGGCTCCATCGGAGCACATACCCTGGGTTTGCCGCCGCATTATTTAACGGTAAATTTGAAATTGATATACGAGATGACAGTCGAAAAAAAAATTAAATTCCGGCAAGGCCTCCAGATACGAGATCTCAGATTATTGATTTCGCTGGAACCTTGACGGCTGCAGATGATATCACTCGCTGATCAAATAAAAAGTTCAATGTCAATGCTTGATGCTTGATGCGCGGCTCAATCAGTTAAAGAACACTCTGTGTGTCGGGCCAGAGAAAGGGGCCCCTGTTGGGCCACCTGTTGAGCCAGTTCACTCGAAGTTCATTGAGTTGTAATTAAAGTAAAAAAAGATGCATACAGAACTCAAATAATGGAGTACACAAATATAATAAAAGGGGACCACACGCAATCCGTTCACGAGGCGCTGCCTGTCACACATAAATCTCAATGGCACATGCGGGAACCGAGCGGACCGAGGGGATCGCGACTTCTGGGTCCGGGAGCTGATGCATCACCTCCGTAAGAAAAGGGTGCCAAGGGGTCTTGGCCAAGGATGCTGCGGCCAAAATCCGGTTTGGGTAGCCCCTCTAACATGGCTGATTTATGCCTCGCCCGTGGCCAACACACAATATGTGCCCAGGAAAACAAACGGGCAGCTGGCCAACTGGCCAGCGAACGAACGAACCCGCCGCCACCAATAGAAGCCGCTCCAATTACATCACTCAAACTACAGTTAAGGTGACCAAAAAACACTCGCAGGGAACTGGAAAGTCGCGCGGCTGTCACATTAGGCCGCTCTAATCAGACAGAGAGCCCAGTTTATCGCCGGACAAGATCTTCGAAGGATTACCAGTCTAGACTTGGGATCTGCCTAGATCTTCCCATCTCAAGATCCCGCTCTGGATCCTCGTTCTGCTCGCCGCTCTCTGCTCACGAACGTGTTAACGGTCCAGGTCTCTTGGCTGCTGGCCGGTTTGGTCAACTATACGAGCGGCGCTAGAGACCCGGTAAACCGAAATTAGGCTGAGGAAAACCAGGAGAGATGAAAGAAAGAAATAGTTTAGAAATCTGTAAAGATTTCTATACACAATGTTAGCTTTTCTCAGTGTACAAAATGAAAGAGAACTTCTGAATGCTCTTTTGTTGTTTCTGCTTTGATTAAGTTCTGATATCAATGCTTCGGAGTGGGAGTGGGGGATGAGTAACCCGAGCTCTGGCCACCAACTTTGGACCTCAACGAGTCTTTCTTTTAATTTTATTAATTGTTATTGCCGCAAAGTTCCATAAATTTCGTCCATGCATGGCGATAGATAGCCGTTCCACTGATTTGGTTAATAGCCGCGATATCGATATCGATTACGTTGGCAGCCACAATAAAAATTGCTCACATTTATGTAGATTGTGGAAGAAAGAGCCGATCTATTGAGTGTCTCTGGCATTCTTATGAGACAGCTTGACTGATTGTGGGAGAATGGGGAGAGGCTATCCAAAGACTAGAAGCCTTTCGAAATCGGAATTTAGTGGGTAAGGGGCAGGCTGTTTTCAAAAAAAACTATCAGCCTCCGAATGATAAACATAGATTAAAAAAGCAGGGGGTTGTCTAATTAATTGTTATATGTGTATGTTGGGTTCTTCCTCATATGCAAAGCCTAATGTTTGGATTAACTAAAAAATTCTCTAGCATGGCTTAGCTTACCTTAAATATATTTTATATAATTATAAAAACTTTATGAAAGCAAATACAAAGTGACACTACACCCAAAAATATATACAAATAATACACTCAAGGCCGAAACCCTCTACCGACCCCCAATCAAAAAATCTACACGAAACCTACCACAAAAGAAACAAGAGTCAATTCAACCAACCAAATAATATTGTATTAGATTTTTCCTTTAAAATCAAAAATTTATTTGACTTTCAAGAAACATCCCTAGGCCAGCTCCCAAAATAGTTTCTAAAATCTCCCTGTATTATTTCGATTTCATTACCATCTTCACACCATCTAGTGTGCTCAAGGTGCCCTTCACTTAGGTCCCAGACCAGACCAGATCATACCATCAATTGCTTGACACTGCTCCAGCCGAACCCAATTAAAATCAGGCAGCGAATTTATTAAATTGTCATCGATGGCTGCCAAATTAAAATGTCAACGGCTTGCCGAAATCCAACAAGGGGGCGGCCGGGGACAGGGGGAGGGCGCAAAAAAGTGTCATAAACTTGTTTGACAGATTTCCTTTGATTCATGGAACCCATAAATAAAGCTCACCAAGTCTCTGGGCGTGGCCCAAAGCCGAGAGCCGAGAGCCGGAGACCCGCGAGCCACTGCAGCGCCAAATCAAAGTCAATGCGAGCGATGCATAAATATTTTGGCGAACCAAATGAGATTCATTTGGCTGTCATCGTCATGTGGTAAGCACCCGCGCCAAGGAATGCCGGAGCACAGCCTGGTCCCGACCTCGATCCCGATTCCGAATCCGATGCAGATTCCGGTCAGATCTGATCAGGCCACGACCATTGCATGTGTCGCTGCCATAATTCTTAAGCGATTCGGGCCACTTGATGATGACATTCATGTCTCCAGCCAAAGGCGCCATCCAATTGACTCATGAATCTCTTGGTTACCACACTCGGAGCACCTGCCTCGAACACGGAGCTCAGCTTTAGTGCCCAACTGGCGCCGGTTCATAAATCGTAACTGGTTCTTTCCGGTGATTCCATCTATTAGACTTTTTTATGATCCTAGCCACACCTTGGCACATCAAGTGTCTACGTCATAGAAAGTGGCCAGGAGAAGAACAAGGATGTAATAACATAAAGGCATTCAGGAGATTTACTGAAAACGATTTATTCTAGATATATAAGCACCTTCTTTTTAGTGTGCTAAAGCATTTCCGGCTGACCTGTACAATCTATTACGTCAAATGAAGTATAACTTCTTGGCTATTTGGTTTTGTTTACTCCTGAAAGGATATCTCGGGATCGGAAATACTGACAAGACAGTCGACCAGTGCTTCGTTTATTTGCTGGATGTCAATCAACTCCATGGTAGCCGACGTGGTTCTGTAAAAGGGCCCGGGACCAGCATTGCAAATTGCAATATCAGTTCGTTGGCAAAGCTAGAGGGTCATAAGGCAGTTGAAATAGTAGACTTCAGGACGCATGGACACACCCTTACCTTCTTAAAATGTTTTGCCAAGGAGCAGGCAAGCACCAGGATCGGTGGATCGCTATCCTCTTCATCGTACAAACCCATCAGCGAGTGACAAAGCCGCGGTGATCCAAAGCTTACCTGTAGTGTTGTCGAATTTTAATTTATGTACTTAATTACATTAAAAAGCTGCTCACCTGAACACTGGCGGCCACGAGAGCGGGCCAGCATACTTGCCACCAGTTACTCCACTTGACCTGGATCACATCTATGGCGTTCATTATCAGGGGTCGTTCCTGGAGTTGCTTTTGCAGTTGCTGCCGCTTAACTGAAGGAGAAGAACTGGTAGACTCTACCTCAAAGCAAGTAACTTCTTGGCAAGAGGTCAGCGGTACTGTGCTTTCTCTGGTAGAAAAATCTTGAAGTTCCGAATCGCTCGCGATTAAGTGACTTTTCCGCAAACGGCGTGAGGTTCGAAGGCTTCTTCCTATTCCTACGTGTCTTCGCCGATTCTGTGACTTTTTCTGCGGACTGAGAGTTGTCAACTGGGTGGCCACGGTTCGACTGAAAAGGAAAAAGTACTGCAAGTAAGATCAAGGTGAAATGCTATGGTTAAGTACCTCTCGGTGCCGAAGCAACGTCGCAGGCCATGGTAAAAGTTGGCCCAGACAAGGGCCATTTCTAGGACTGGCATCGTGGAATACTTGTTAGTCGAACGATTGAACTATAAATTTTGGTCAACAAGAGAAAACAGAAGTCCAAACCGAGACGTTGGATTTTGGTTATAGCTGCATTAAGTCATTTCCATAACTGTCAGGTGGCAAAGCCTACTCAGGACTAGAGATTTGACACAGGCTAAGAATGCCAGGGAAATGGTTTCAGGAACAAAATGTCTTTCGAAATAGTGAAATTATATGTTTCACCGACTGGCCTTTCGGTTGAAAAAACACTTACATGAGTTCCTTGTGCAGCGAGAATTTTGATTTATTTCTGTTCCGATAGATCTGCGTGAAGACTCAAGGCCCGCTCGGATAGTGCACTCATAATTTATGGCGGCAGTGGCTGCCATCGCAATTAGCATTGCAATCTAAATCAAAATATTTACAAATCAATTACTGTGATTGGCGACCCCGCCGCACAGTCACTTCCACCATAATCGATCACCCAGCTGGGGACCCCATTCCCATTCCGATTCCGATACCGATTCCACTGCCGAGGCAGAGATACCATACCACTTCATAATCCGAGCGAACCCCACCCCCAATCGACTTGGTGGCGACGACAGCATTTTACAGTAATCATAATTTGCATTGGCCTTAACCCGTTGAAAAATATCTGGTAATATTTGATATTGAACTTTATTAACTTATCTAAACTAGTTGTATATATTGTTTAATAGTTTGATAAAGTGATGGTTAAATATAAAATAATATGGCTAAGGGCCAGAGACTCTTCTTATTGGTAAAGTATCTCGGTCAGATCAAGATCCCTGCTTGGCAAATTAGGTTTTCTCGAGCCCATCCAGCCCTCTGTCAACTCTTTTCGTATCAAAAGCTAATTTCTAAAGCCTAAACAGCACTCTATTAATAATTTATTTACCTTTAACTTTAGGTATTTGGTTCTTTAGCTGTTAGACAAGAAACCATCCCTTTAACCTCCTTTCCAAGCATTACATTAAGGTAAACTATTTCTTGTATTAAACTTGACTCGCGTGATAACAATTTTTGCTGGGGGTTAACTTGTTTTCGTATCAGCTGCCGTCTTGGCTTAAGATTAAAGTCACCCATTGGCGACACAATCAGTTTGAGATTTGTTTTTAATTGATTCGATTCGCTGCCAATGGAATTGACTTTCTGTCAGTCTGAGCGTCGGCTGCTTGTTCGTCGCCATTCGTTGACAGGCGCCTATTACAATTTTATTAACATTAATTATAGTGTGCAGATCGATGCTGCGACTAATGGATGCTTAATGGTTGTTAATGCATGGCGACTGCAAAGAAATTCCTCACCAAAATCTGTTTTAATTGGTCCCTACTCTCAGCTACAGAACCCGATCCCATCATATCTGCGAAAAAGTGTCGCTACCACACCGAGAAAACACGCTGGCTGACAGTGGACATGACAATATTGTAGATATTGTTTATTCTGTAATTTAATATCGCTCTGATCGCAGTCTAGATACGTTTCTGTCTGCGATCTGTGGCCAAGGAAAAGCCGCCAACCTTGGGGCAAGCGCCGCGCGTTTTTAATCGCGCTGGAAACGCGCGAGATCGGCTCAAGGTGTAAAAGACTGGGAGTCAGGTTTATATCGGGATCGGTCACGGGATCCGGATGGATGGGGGCGCTGGCCAGGGCAGCTGCCCCTCGAACACCCCGACGGGCATCACTTGCCACATTTTCGGTCGGCCACGGTTTTTAATTAATCCAACAACATCTTGCCCCGGACTGCACTCGGCTTACGCGGAAAAAGGGTCAGGGGTCGTTGAGGCGAGCACATTAGGCTGGAACACTCAAACACCCGGGTTAATTAAGTCATTAGCCCGAAAATGTCCTGCTGCTGCTGCCTTAGCTCCTGCGCTTAATTAATCATTTTAATTGTCTCGCTGCATACCGAAGGATAATGTGGGGAGCGGAGGAAGAAGGGCTGATCTGGAAAACTGCGGGGGAGAAGGTTATTTATAGGGGCACCCCCCGGCGGCAGAGGGCAAGGTCGAGGGCAGGGACACTTGGCATGTGCTTCATCGGCTCGCAAGCGTCAAATTCCAGGGCCCAAAACGTGGTTCCGTCACTTTGGTTAATGGAGTTAATTGTTTTGGGGACAGTCGTTTGTGGGCAGGCGAAACCACTTAGTCAACCGACGACGTGCAACAGTTTCAAGATAAATTTGAGGTTTCAAGTTTAGAAGCTAAAAATAGAGTAAATATAAGACAACAATTCTAATATACATTTATTTTTGTATAGAAACGTGCCATTTTTTTCTGTATTTCGGACTCCGCCCTTATCTGCGCTGCCATTAAATATTTGATTTCATTTAATTCTGTAAATACTTAATTTCCTACCTTATACCCAGATAGCCAATCAGTGAGGGCCACCCCCACCGCCTGCCCAATGACGCAGTCCATCAACCGTGACGTTGGCGACTCTCCCGAAATATTTCTGCAATTTCTGCGATTCCCTGTCACTGTCAAGTTCAACGTAAACACAAAAAGTTAACATGTGACTTTATTCATTTCAGAGATTAGATAAACTTTATTCAAAGAAATTTGCTCATAGCCTTTCATAATTTTTATTTGAGGTGGCCTGCATTTTGTGTCTGGTGGTTCCGATGACCATAAATGGGTTTTGTGATGAATCTATTGTTAATTTCAGATAGGTTATAGAGGCGAGAGGTATGAGTTGCCTGCCAGAATGTTATGATTCACAGCCGAAATCCCAGCGCATTAGCAAGGTGTTTGATGACGCTCACCGCTGCTGCACTTTGGGCCCATATAGTTAATGGGTATTTGTGCAAATCTGCGATAGCTTGCGAAATACGTAGGCACTGGAAATGTCTACGCGCCAAAAAGCACAACCGCCACTGCCCAGCCACCAAAACAATCCGAGCAAACACGAGCGCCTGCAATCAGAACGCTCACACTGTCAACCGGAAAGCTGGCACGTGATGGGGGATCGGATCTGTCGCAGAGTCCGCTGTTTTGGGTATAAAGAATGTCGGCAAAGAGATATATAATCTTTGAGAGCTGTAGATCTGAAAATATTGCCTACTTATATGTTGGTACTAGGTGTTTGCGGAAGGCATGTGACTTACGCTTGTTGTTAACTATAATAACTTGATTGAATATTTTTAAATAAGGAAAAAATTCAGCTGTTATATATCTTAACAATCTTAATTATTATACAGACGGGTCTTGATTTATTTGAATAAAATCAAGATGACTTAAAGGCCATATAATTCATGTAAGAAATCGAAGTTCGTCGCTGAAGCCAAGCAATGAGTATAACAGTTTATAACGAAAATTTCAGTACATTAAATTCTAGTATAGGTTATGAATTAAATTCTTATAACTATTGTTAATTTGTTCTTAAAGGTATACAAAATACATTATTTTTAGCCAAGTTTGGGAATTTATAATTAATTGTGGTAGGCACTACTTCACTTCATATTCAGAGTTGTTTACTTATGAACACAGCCGAGTTTAATGTGCCAAATATTAGTATCTAATCGCTTATTCACAAAATTAGCACTATCGGTTTTCATTAAATTCTGTCACACTTTCGTCAGATAATCGGAAGTCCCTACTCTCGGGCTGTGTGATCGTTACTACCTCAGTGGTGTTAGTTACCATTCTTTTACCTGATTCGCCCTAGAGTCCGAGCGACCGCCGAGCCGAGTCGGGTTCCGACCCGGCTTCCTCGTCCTCGTCCACCCACAACACTCGCTCTCCCTCTCTCGCCCTGCTGTTCCCGCTGTGCCGGCGCGCTAGCTCTCGCTCTGGCCCGAAGGCGACGCTCGCGCTCGGGTAGACGCACGAAGCGCCACCGAAGTATCCGTCAGATACGCGGCGGCCGCCACAGCTACACATTTCAGTCACTGACTGGCACACGCTTTGGAAACACACAGTGAGCGGAGCGTCCGCAGTCGCAGTAGCACTCGAAGTCCGCTTATCCGCAGCGTTTTCGAATCTTTCGAACCATCATCCATATCCGGACCATCGTGATCGTGGCCGGAATCGCGCACTCCCGCCGTACTCGATGTTCCGGTTTTGTGTGAAATTGTGTTCCAACGAGATCCAAACTATAATCTCATCGGAAGGAAAATCTGAAACAAGAAAGTTCGTTTTCAAATCAAAGCATTGCCGGCCCACCGAGTCGTTACAATTTTGAAAAGGCCGCATAAATCGAAAAGTTTACGAGCAATTCGAGAAAGCAGAAAATATATTTGATATATATTGTAGTGCTGTGTTTTTTGGAAATACCTATATAAATGAATGAAAATTGAATTGTTGTTGCAACAAGTTTTAAAAAGTGTGCAAAGTGCAACTGCTCTCTCAAAAACCACGCGTCCAAAAAAAGAATCGTAAAACTGAAAAAGGCAAATAAACATAAAATAAGGTGCGTACATTTTTCTCTTCAAATGGTGTTACATAAGTTCTTTTTGGTAGTTTTCCTAGCTCCCTGATAATTGTGTTGCAAAATGCTTCCCCGAAGCGTTGGCGGTGTTCTTAATCCAATAATTAATAACCAAGTTTGTCGAAGCAAAGTCTGTGTTATTCGATTTATATAACCATCGGTGGTTGGTTGTTGGGAAATAAAAGAGAATTCCATTCCGAAATAGTTGCCAGTTCTTTGCACTTTGGTCATTTTATTAAAATATATTTTTGGTGGAATTCTGGCATCTTTTGAACGAAATAGAAATCATTTTCCACTTGGCAGCGGGCCGAGTAATGAGTGTACTTGAATGTCCCGTGAGCAAACAGGGAAAGTAATTAAATAATGAGTAGTGCAAATACGAAATAAATTAATTCCAAACAAACAAATTGCGGGCAAAATAAATTCACAAGAAAAACAGATTTTCTATTAGTCGGATGCTAATTGATAATAATTTAATTCATATTCGTTTCATTTTAACACCTTCGGAGAATATGACTGAAATCGTAATCTGAATCTATAAACAAATTAATTCTAATTTACGGCCGGCACTGCGCTTTTCCAAGTACTTTTCCGCCTTAATCTGCCCCAAATAAACACTAAGCAAGCGGGTAAAAAACAGCAAAATATTTTTGCAAACCGGTGAAAGCAAACGACCTTAGGGGCACCTACTCTATAAAAGCGAAATTTATATAAATTTAATCACACACCACTCTTTTAGATTATTTATAGTTTTGGCAAAAAAGAAACATCCACATTCGCGGATCCCTATCGCCGTCTGCCGAGCTGTATCTGTATCTGTGTATCTGTGAATTGTGCGTATCTCTATTTGCAAATGTACGCAGGCGCTTTTTATCTAAATTCGCAAACTTTTTTCTATACTTTTTTTTGTTGTTGTTTTTACTGCTCTGCGCGTGCAGTTTTTGTCCTATAAATTGGCGGCGTCGACTATTATCTAACATTGTGCGCTATTATCTAAGCTGAGTTGTTGTTCTCGTCCCTGGTGGTGCCTCTTCTGTGTGCGTTACTACTCGTATTGCGTCAAATGGCACGCATGGGTGTGCGTCGGGTTCAACAACTGCTAATCACTCGGCGGATCATAGTTTCGGACGGGCGACAAAACGCCGCGAAATATGGGGATCGAGATAGCAAGATAGCGGGCATAAAACGGGAATGAAAAATGAATGAATTGTGGAGTGCTGAAGGTGATTTCCTTCATAATTAATGGCAACACCGAGTGCTTAGCGCGAATCAAGGCGATTATTTATAGAACCTATTAAGTGTTTGGCATTTCTCGGATATTTTTAAAAGCATTTTTCAGATTCCCTCTGATTTTTATTTTGTGGGTTGCCTGTACGAGTCACTTTTAAACTTTGTTGCTTAATTGCCAATCAAATATTAAGACCATTTGTCAATGATAAAATATAAAATTAAATGAAATAATATAGACTGAAAAGGCTTTTAAAAATTAATTTATGGTATATTTTACTTTCGCTTTTATTTGCTACAATCCTAATTTTACAAATTTTTTTCTTTTCTCCCAATTTTTCTCAGGACCATCTTAAAAAATTAATTTAAAAGTGGGCAATTATTCATGATAAACTTATACATAAAAAAAATTATTTTATTTTTTGCTTACCTACTCTTTTATTTGTGACAATTTTAATATTACGAAATGTTTTCCATTCTCTAAATTAGTAAAGTTTTAAAAATGGGCAATCATTTATGAAATGTATGTATTATTTATTTAATTTATTTAAATATATAATATTAGTTATATGAAAAATGTACTGCTTATTCCATTCTTCAAACATTTTTCACAAAATAAAAAAAAAAAAAAAGGAAATTAAAAATAGTAATTTAATAAAATTACATAACCTTATGAAAAGGACAATTTAATTATAAAATTTATTAAAATTGTAAGCGTGCCTTTTTCCGTGATCAAATGCTTCGATTTATGGGTGCTTTTCGTGCAAAAATTTAATCAACTGAAATTCTTGAGAACTTTCTCTCTCAAGGGACAAGAAAATAATTGATTAAGTAACCTTGTTCCCTCCAATATATTTTTTGTGGCTACGTCAGTGGCATTTCACTAAGTGAAAAGAAAGCCGTAAAATAAAGCCATAAATTTGTTCACTCAAAAAAGCTAGGAATTATTAATATGGCCAATCTGGAATTAATTGAAATGGAAATAAAAATTTCGGGCACTAAAAAAACATTTAACTACGAATTTCTAGTCGGATTGCCAATTACCATGTTTCGAGTTCTGAAATACGAATGTTGGGTAACATTTTACTCAGCTCTGTGACACATTTACAAATTGGGGCTGAGTGATGATGGGCTTGGGCAAAGTTTGAAATACAACGATCATAATTCGGAGATAAAGCTTATCGCTCCCGCATGCAAAAGAAGAAAAATAGGTTTTACGGCGGTGCGCAAATAGTTTGAAGATTGCTTTTCCTTTTTGGCCAAAAGTGGCGCATTTGAAAGCCCAATACTGGGAAAGAAATGTCGACCATAACAGCGAAAAAGGAGAAGTAAAGTAAACTAAACTGAACAGGGAGAGAGGTGAAAGAAGAAAGAAAAATGCGGGAAACTCGGTAAAAATGCAGCGTTTGTTTTAATGAAGCGTGAACACTAGACCACATAATGTGCGGCACACATTTAGAGACACACACACACGATGGCACATGGCAACAACTTTAGGTACACCCCATAGTTAAAAAACGAGCAACAAAAACAAAAGGAAAACCGAAATGAAAACGAAAAAATCGTCGCGTATTTCACTCGGGTTGGTTGTTTCCTCTTTTTTTTTTGCAGTGTTTTTATGTTTTTTTTTTGTATTTGTTGTTTGACGCATTTTAAAAATATCCTAGACGCAATTGTTGGTGTTGTTTTTATTGTTGCTTCGCTTGTCACATTACTAATACGACGCGTTGTCTTTGATTTTGTTGTTGATTTCGTTCTAAAGCGACGGTTTTCCTTTTAATTTTCGCACGTAAAGTGCGTGACTTTTAATTAGACTACAATAAATGTGCGAAAATGTGTGGGAGATGAGTCTCTTGGTGGGTTAGTGTGTGAGTTGTATTTTTTAAATGAGAAGTACATGGGTGTAAAAGTGACAAATACTTTTATATATTGGCTGAAATTGTGCAGAAACTTCCGCTAAAATTTTACAAAATGATAGTGAACAAGTTGATATGCATAATTTAAGAGATTTATACAGTTTGAATGGGGTAATTTACTGTTAGTTTCAGTCTTAATTGCGTTGAATGCGTTTATTATGAATATTATATTCTTATAATTAAAGCTAAATAATAAATAATAATGGTAATATATACATAAAATAATCAACATAAAGTAAATATTATAAATATACATAAATACAATTTTTAGAAATGCCAATAGTACCATTATTGAAGATACGTTCTCATCAAAAAATATCAAAAATCATTAGGAAAATATATGTGTTAGTGTATTGAGGAAAATTCTTAGATAATTTCCTTCAAAAATATGGCTTTGAATCTACATTCAAATATTTGATATTTGGTTTTTATTTCTTGATTTTCAGATAACTAAATGTATAGAAATGTTAGAAACCATTTTGATACTAAATTATAAATCCAATAAGAAGAGGCTAAATAGGATTTAATATTTAATTTATTTTGAAATATAGATTAATAGATTTATAGATTAATTTTTATTCTTAAATATATATAAACACTATAAGTAAATTATTTGTTATTAGCTGATTTAAGTAGAACTTATATCCAAGTTCTACAAATTATATATGTTTAGATACGTTTGATATTTTTGTATCTGAAGATACTTTCTCACTTTGCAAATCCAAGATGTCTCTCGAAATCCTACATATCAGCAATATGTCTGCTATAGCGGCCGATATTTGCTTTGTTGTTAGCATCGGATCGCATGTGATTGAATGGTTTAACGCGGCGAGAGTGAGTGTGTGTTTGGTGTGCCCTCGCCTGTCTCGTGCACTAAATATTTAAAATAGCTGCATCTTGAGAGGATTTTTCCGCTGCCGCGGAGACTGCGGCAACCCAATTGCTTCCGGTTCAAATCGATTACACAAAAGCGCTGCCTTTGTCTGCTCGTACTTTTCTTTTATTTTCCCCGGGCTGCGCCAGCTTTCCCCGAGGACTGTTGGCGAGCAGTATCTAACAGCGCAGCCTTCAAGTATCTTAAGCGGCACATCGATTAGTGCATTTGCCTGCCTGAGTTATGTTTCGGTATCTTTTTCATTTCTTGTTTTTCCAGGGAAAATTAATTGTTTTGTAAACACGAGAGTCAATCGGGGCGGGGACGGAGCAGCTCCACCTCCGGGGTCTGAGGAGAACCAGATCAGCGACAAATGCATCTTCTTGTTTGCATTATTTCGAGATACTTATTCATCTATAAGCCAGTTGTCGGCGAATGCCACCGCACATCAATCTCTGGCTAAGCATTCCATAATACACAGATGTACGTAGGGAAAACAAGTATATTTATTCTCGTTCCATCTTGTGACAAGTGTCAACAAGACAATGAGCGTCAGACACTAAACAGGGAAAATAAATCGAAATATATCCGTTCTTGAACTAGAATTTCATTGTTACTCTCGCACAGACATATGACTGTATATACTTTTTAATTCTATTCGCTTTCTGTTTGGCATTGAAATATTTTCATACAGAGCAGGACGGGGGGTGGTTACCTCCGATGGTTGCAACACAACATTGTCTCTTATTCTTGGGCCTTATTTATTTTATTGCCCAAACTACAGTAACCACAAGCCATGAATAAATTGCACATGTAAGTGAAGAGTCTGGGAATTCGTGGTCTACCGCATCTTATTTTTTACCCCTGCTAACCGCGAGAAGAATGAGATACGGCGTTACTGAATTGTCTCTTTTGGTAATGGTTTCTGGTAACAAATATGGGGAATTGGCGCTGCTTCTGAAAAACAAGTAAATAAATCATTAAAACGGACATAGTGGCTCTTTATGTGTTTAAATAAGAGAAAAATAAGCTAATAAATATAATTAAAACCCGAAACCTTCACTTTCAAATGCTTAAACTGGTTAACGCAGTCTTTTAAATAATATAAAAATATAAACATTATGCTAACGTCATCGCGTATTAATTTTATGAGACTATCAAAATTTTAATTCACCTCTTATAATAAATTAGTTTCACATTTTTGGTTTGTTTCCTTTTTTTTGCGTGAATCATTTGCATATTAGCAATGGCAGCAGCGAGAACTGGAAGTCTAATCACATTTACATATGTCCAATAGTTCAGCGTGTAATAAATGCTTTCCCCTTTTGTTGCTCTTTTTTTTTGGAGTAGCCAAGCGTCTGACATGAACTAATTAAGTTGCGCAGCCCGGCTTAGATTTATCGCTGTCCCAGGCGCTCCGATCCGCCAGATACTTTCCAAATGCCCAGGCCCATCTGTCAGCGGAGCCATTAAAACAGCGGCTAGCGCAAATGTCAAACGCATTTGAAACGCATAAACTTGGCGTTGCTCGAAAACCAAAACAAAGCGAAGCAAAACAAAACCAAACGGCGAAATTCGCTAATAAGTCTGTTGAGCGACTGCCATTTCAGTTCAATGACTAGGCCTAGGCTTCGGTTTCAGTGGAGACCCGCAGCTGGTGGAGACCCTAATTTGAATACCTGGCTTGGTTATTTTGCTCGACGGCTTTAGTGACTACTTGTTGTCAAGCTGCGGAGATAATATCAAAACGAGATGAACTTTAAACCGCACTATGGGCGGGGTTTAGTTAATATCTCTAGACATTTCTTGAATTTATAATCTATTTGTTATATGAATGATCTTATACAATAAACTGTATTAGTTCTAGTTTTGCTTGCAATGCGTCGCCGAATTCCTACTTGAGAATTTTAAATGTACTCATTGGGGTTTACTTTTAAATTTTGGATACTTATAATGAGAGAGAAATTCATAGTAATCACAGTTCGCAAATGATGCTTCCCTTTTCATTCACTTTTTCTCATTTACACCCATTGTACATCATTCAAGATAATTTTATTATAAAATGTATTCATTCGCCGACCAAAGCTGCCGCCACACGACTCGGGCCATTCATTAATATATTATTTCTTTGGATTGGGATTTCTTTGCTGTTTTTGTGATTTGGACATTAATTTGATTAGGCGATTGCCACCGAAGTTCGCCACTCAAATTTGGGTTAAGTGAATATCAAGTTTTATAACGGATCCGAATTCACTCGAGTGACTAGTGCTAAGTGAGTCGAAAAAGAGTTCTTTGGGCTTTGGGTCACAAGTGATTATAGTCGGTGTATGGGTTCAGTGACTGTTGGACTTTCGCTTTCGGGAAGCCCAATCTTCGTTTTGCGAGGGGCGTAATTTGGCAGAGCAATCACCGTAATCAGGTTTTCACTCTGATTAAAAATTACCTTCGATTATACACTTCCTTACTAAGTATGGCCCACATGGGAGACGCCAAGGGGAACCACACAAAAGTTTTCATTATGTTTTATGTTGCTCATAATTTGTTGAATTTAGTAGGCTTATGAGAGACAGATGGACCGAGTCGTAAAAAAAGATAAATTTGTTCTTGCCCACACAGCCCATAGGTGTGATTTTTATAATCCATCTGCATATTCAGGTATTAGGTGTGCAGAGGGCTAGTTTACAGCTTCGGCATGTGTCAAGACACGCTTCCCTTTTCGGAAGTTTTTTTATTTTTATTTTTTTCGGTGCTAAAACTGGCCTTTCAGAATTTTACACAAGTTCTTCAACTGAAGAGAACACAAACTCTGAGGCCGATTTAGCGGTGGAGCTTGGCACACATTGAGCCTGCTATAACATATATTCTTGTATCTGGGTGAAAGGCATTAAAATCGCACAAACTTGGAATATATATTTTTTGATTCTCCGCCAGGTGGGGGAATAACTTTGGCGATTTTTATATTACACAAATCATATTGGGTTTCACTGATTCCCCGCGATTCGTCGATGAATTTGGCTTTGTTTTATAACTTTGCCCGCATGCAAATGCCATATTTTACGATCGGGAATGCTCGTAACTGTTTAGGGACCTGGGGAATTACTGTTTCGAAACGTATCATATCTTAATCTCAAAGTCAACGCCTGGTTTGGATTGCGTAACTGGGAGGGCAGTCTGCCAGAAGGACGCAAAAGCAATTAACATTTTGATGGGACAGAGGAGTCGTGTGTTATGAGGAGTGTCTGTGTTTGTCGCCAATTGGATTTGTTTTCGTTTGTTTGTGCTTTTTTTGTTGGCCATTTTTTGTTGTTTATGGTAATTAAAACGGGGTGCACTTAAATGTTGCATAAAAAATGCCTCTGTCGCTGCGTAGGCTTGCTGAACACGTGCCAAAAAATCAGGAGTCGAGTCTAAGTGCAGCGGCAACGTCACTCAGCCGCCCCGTTGCCCTGGGCGCCTGCTAAAGATTCGGATACGAGTACAGATAGAGAGATACTCTGCCGCCTGCCGCCGCAGTTAGTGCGTGATTATTTTCAAATTCGACACAGTTTTCTGCGCGAATTGTTTTTGTTGCCCATTTTATTTTTAAACAATTTCTCTCCGCCGCACTCATGCTCCCTTATGCCTTGGCCTGTGCGGTTGGGAAAGTCATTTTCGGTGTTTTTCTTTGCGTAACTGCTCCCTTTGGGCAGTTTTTATGTAACTTCCCTCCGATCACTTGTCGCACCCACAGATACAATTGTATCTCTGGTATCTTAGCTACAAACTGGGCCACTTGTCGTCACGTTGTGTTTTTTATATAGCCGAACGAACACTAATTAAAATGTCAAAAATCGCGTTGAAAGCGCTTAGCTGAAGAATTTATATACGACTTTGCCCAATCCAAATTTGAGGTGCAAATGTTCGCAGTGGAATTTTCAAAGCCAATTCCCGAGAGCCATAAATTTAGGTCTAGAAATCATTAACTAACTTATTTTATATTATCTATTTTAATGATAAGCTACCCAAATTTAAAACCCTGCCTATTTGCATTCAATTAAATGTTTACAAAAATTCTTTTTTTTGCAGCTTGTCACCTCCAACTATGTTGGCCACTCCAACTTAGGCCCACGAATCGAGCCGAGAGATTGCGCCATTCAAATATCCCCGGCTGTATCAAGGGAAGATCTGACATGACAAGACAGTCATTCGCGTTGATAAGATGCATTATCAGCGGGGAAGACGAAGATGAAGATCCGCAACAGCAATTGAAGAGTGTTGAACAAGTCTACGATATGATAACCTAATTTCCTGCCGGGCAAGAGGCGAAAAGTGATTTTTGTAAAAGTTTAAACGGGCAAGAGAGAGACTCTTCTTCTGTGCGTTAAGCAGCAAAGTCAGTGAAACCGAGTAGCGAACGAAACGAACGAAAGTAAAAAAGATTTCTCAAACGGGGCGTTCATATGTTTCAACGACATCCCAGGGCGTGGCGCACGCCCAATAAACTGGCAAACAAACAATAAACAACTGAGACAGCGACTTACTCGCAATCCCAGGCACTCGCAGTTGGGGCGAAGTACTGCGGCTCACGGCTCGAAATCTGTGGTGATCTTTGATGCGAAGAAACCTGCGCCTGGACTGGAGGGCCCTGGCCCTGCTGGGCGCCCTCCTCTCGCTCATCATCGCCTGGCCGGGCCTGGTCTTTGCGATGCCCGCGATGGAGACCCTACCAGCTGCGTCAGCATCCGTATCCCTTTTCCCATCCAGCAGCATGAACAATAGCAGTCGACCTAGTAATAGTTATATACAAAGTGATCATAGTCGTAGTAGTTTAGTGGCGAGCGTAGTCGTGAGTGAACGTAATGTAAATCAATCCACAAATCAAAGTATTAACGCTGAATTTAATCAGAGCTTAAGCACACAATTAACTGCCATAGCAACCACAGCAAGCCCACCTCCCCACTCATCATCCCCCAGCTGGGAGGGCGAGAGCTCCTCCGAACAGCCGGAGGAGGAGCCCCTGGGCTTTGTCATCTCGGCGGTGCCGAGTCAGCATCTGGCGGTCCTGTCGCGTACCGAGCGCAGCATTCGCCATCAACAGCAGCAAAAGAAGCACCCGCACCAGCACCAGCACCACCAGCAGCAGCAGCAGCCACATCCTCATTACCAGCAAGAGTCGCCGACTGGCAATAATTTCATTGGTTCGAAATCGAAAAGACTGAGCAACCCTAGAAGTAATCTAAGCATAAATAGCAGTAGCAGTAACACTCCCATCAGCAATCTGGACCGCAACGAGCGCTCCACCGTGCCCCAGTCGCATTTGGACTGGTCATCCCGCAAGATCCGGCTGTACATCAAGAATCACATGCTGCAGGTGATGCGGGATGGAACCGTCATTGGGATTCAGGACGAGAACAGTGAATTTAGTAAGTTAAATGTTCTATATATGTTTAAAGTTTTATTTATTAAAGTCATAATTGAATCATAATGTCTCATATCATATTGCATACCATTCAGATCCTCAAACCATATCATTTCTATTTAAACACATCGTTAGATAAGTCAGGATATTGACCTATAATTCCCAAATGATTTTTTTTTTTTGGATTTGTATTTCTGGGGCCACCTCCCTCCCTTTATGAACTTCAAAGTGGATGCCACCCATCTGTCCACCCCTCGTTACTCACATATTTTTCGGTTTATTTTGAATATATGTTTTATGTTCAATGTTTGCTTTTTTTTTGTGTGTGCCACCCATTCCACTTTGACTGCATAAACAACCAAATAAACTAATGCCTATGTCCGTATGAAATATTTAGAATATCAGAAATAATACACGCCCACCCACACCACCTCAGGGATTTACTTACATATATCCCACAGCGTCTGGACGTATGTATGTATGGATCTACCTATGGCAGGGAGAGCGCGCCCACAAGTTGAAAGTTCTCATAAAACGCCGAGAAACTGCGTAACACGCACTGAGACCTGCCAAAGAAATCGGCGGAGGAAAAGATTATTTCTGTTCTTTTTTTTTGTACCCTAGCTCGGCTGTTTATGTTGGGCATCATTAAGTTAGACACTTGATTTGGCAATGCTGCGGCATTGCGGGCATTGTATTATTTGGCATATAAATTCTTTAGTGGGCTAAGGGCATAAATCTTGCCTTAATTAACCGCTCGCTGGCCGCGATTAGCCGGGCTGGGCTCCCTCCCGGGGGATGAGTCAGGTCAGTCTGATGATCATCATCATCTGCCTGGGATTTGCATAACTCTTGCCTCGTTTTTTGGGGCAGCCAGCCAGCCGACTGAATTAATTTACAGCTTCATTTTCATTGACTTCCCTGGCCAACAGGCCAACAGCACTGATAATGTTAAACTTGTTGCACGTACAGCGCCGCAGTCCGGTTTTTGCGCCATTGAGACATCATGAGCTTCTGATGCCGCATAGATAGCGATATCGGGGATTTTGTTTTGGCCAGGTACAAATTTTTTAATTCCCCGACAGTCCTCGTAGCAAGTACTCGCGGCTCACGGTGGCTGCCTCAGGTGTTAATTTGATTTTTGACTCGATCGAACGGCCCGATAATTCGAGTGGAGTGCGATAAGATTGAAATTGCCGCATTAAAGAGAGCTTTTTATAGGACCGCTCTGATGGAGTGCTCGCCCGACTCGAGAAAGATTTTTATGGTCACGCAACTAGTGTCGGGAGGTTTTTCTCCCCTCTCCCTAGACTGTCCCTCTGTGGTATTTTTTGGGGGGTACGGGTATGGGCACAGGGACTCTCACCCTCAAACCAAAGACTTTCACAAGGCAAATCAGTGGCAAGCAATTTGTGTTTATTAGTGCCTCAGTGAGGGTTTTATGGACTGTAAATTGTCCAAAGTGCACCAAAAATCACGCTCACGGAACAATCTCTGGACACTTCTGCTGAATTTCTATTGTGGTTGTAAAGTCATAACCAAATAAACTTGCTTCGCATGTGATAGCTTGGAGAGTAATCCGCAAATGTCTTTGCGAAAAGTTTCTTTGCAGTCTTTAGAATTGTTTAGGTGACTTAAAAATGTTCTTTTGTGTCTTGATTTCATTCTTACCATATATGGTAACCAATAGATGGAGATTGAGTCACTTAAACTTATTTAAAAGCCACAACCTACAGTAGCCCTCAAGTTTATTTTAACAGTTTATGTACTTTATGATTTAAATACCAGAAACCGTTCAGTTATTGAAATAAATATTATATTTAGCCAAGTCCAAAAAGTCTCATAAGCCACTGGAAAAGCGCGTATAAATCGCCAACAAATCGCAAAGCCAAAAAACCCGAAATAAAAACGTCAGCTGAGACTAATGCTTTGAAATAAAGCTGTCCAAACAAAATGAAAATTGCCAAATTTCTTGAGTTTTCCACTCCGTCAGCTCGCATCTGCGGGGCTCATCACCGGCCAAACCAGTTGACCTCCAAAAGTCAGGTGAAGCGCAACGCCAGTTGCATCGGCGGCCACAAATTGCTCCAGCGACTAACGGTGTCGTCGGAGTGGCAAGGAGCTGGAGACCAGACCAGCACCTGAACCCTAGCCCGATCCCTATCCGGGAGGAAAACCCTCGCAGGGGGCGTGCATATTTTTCGAGTTGATATATGGAGAGTACTTGGCCCGGGGGCCACTCGGCAATTATGCGACTGATTTAGTGCGTGGACCGAGGTGTGAAGTTGAGTGAAGCTCCAAGTCGGACCGGGTCCCAAGCTGGACTGCTGAGACGCTAAGAGCTTCCGACAGCATCTTTTGATAACTTAATTTACGGCCCGTCTTTCGCGCCACTGAAGTTGATGAAGTTGCTCCGACAGTTTGGCCAACATTGCATCGATCCGACTGCTGTTACTTTCACTGTCACTCGCCTCTTGACTCCAGAGTCCAGACTCCAGCGTGCTAATTGTCTTTTTAAATACCTGGGCCCTCTACGGTTTTTAGTTTATTTACCTGCTGTGGCACAATAAAAGCCCAACCTTTTACCCAGACGTGTTCTGGGGTTGTTAAATATTTTAATGTTTGTATCAACAAAAGTAGTCTTTGTTGCCATTGATTTGGGAAAGTGATCTTCTTTAGATCGAGGCTAGACTGTGACGCCATTCCCCCGCTTTCCAAGAGCTTTTCCTTCGCTTTATAGGTTTGTAAATTTAGATAATTGCATCAACCTTAATCCCCCCGAGATTTTGATAGATACTACTACATACATACAGACGAGGCAGCAATCAGACTTGAAAAGAATAAAGGAAATTTCGACATCGCTAATTCCCAAGCACGCCTATTATATCACTTTCCGCACATAATACGATAAATTAATTTTACACAAACATTTTTCCGCTGGCTACGTCACGGATGCTGAAAGATCTACTGGGTGATCTCTGCGTTTGCTGGCTAGACGGCGGCACACAACAAATTTATTGTTCGATCTTTCAGCTTGGACAAAAGTTGTACAAGTTAAGTAGAATTTTAAACACTCTCTTGGAAGCTTAGCATAAGGGAAAATGTAAATTTTGAGGAATATATATTTAAAAGTATTAATTATTTAACAATCCAAATACTAAAGTTAAACAAATAAATTTCATAATGTTAGAGAAAAAGGAAATTAAAGTTGGAAGCACCAGGCTGTCCCATCTGATGACTTTATAAATACTTTGGGAAATGGTATTTTCGGGGTGGACATATCTGCGTGTAAGCGAGTGGGTGGCGATGGGAAGACAACACCTGACAGCCTATTGTCAGCGTCGTGGCTCATCATCCGTCGGTGGTGCCGGTAGTGCTGGCTGATTTATGCTCCGGGCAACATCGAGGGGACTTGGAAATACCGCGAAAGTGTTTTGTTTTAGATAAGATTATGTTCCGCAGCATCCGGGGGGCATCGAGGGGGGATGGCCAACCCTACTGGCGAGCGGACGACGCAATATGTCAAATGGATTTGGCCGCAAGTCGGCGTGGGTTAGGTGGTGCTGGCTCTGCACATGTTTTTCCGGCAGCCGCTCGACTTTTCCTCATCTCGCTGACTTCTTTATTTTTAGCCAGGTGGCAATGAACTGGTGGCCGCCTTTCTCCGCTTTCTGGCATCCCGCCTCCACTTGTCGGTTACATAAAGAGGTCTAGGTCTAGTTGGTCAGAAATTTCTTTTCGTTCCATGGCTAACTACCTGGCCACGCCTCCCCTGTCGCTCTGCCCCTCCCCACGCCGTTGACAACGCAATGTTAAATTATGCGTAAATTCATAAAACCAAAAATATTTTGTAAACGGCCCCCGAAGTCGTCGATGTCGATGTTGTCGATGGTTTATGAAGCTGGCCCCGCAATATAAATTACAATGATTAATGACATTTTGCACGCAGTTCTCGACGGTTGTTGCTGCCTCCGTGGTTATTGGCGTTGTTTTACAATCATTTTTACACGGGCAATTCATTTTCACTCGGGCCGAGATTCAGGTCCAACCAGCAGAAACACAAGCGGTGCCCGGTGGCACAGAAACCACTGGAGACAATGCAACAATATCTGTTTTTTGGCAATGAATAAAAAGTGAAGGCTGCACGAGAATATGGGGCGTATGAGTAATATGATAATGCATAGTGATTATTAATTTATTTATTTTATTAATAGCATTTATATTTGATTATGGAATTATTTACAATTAGGAACTCTCCTTAACAAGTAACCTATGGAGTTGCGAGACCATATTGTACTTGATTCCAAAGTGAAATTAAAAACGTTGTCATATACTTCCGAGTAATAAAATGGTAGGATTTGGTCCCATAATCTCCTCAAATTCAGGTTACACCGACACTTTGCCACAAATCACTCAAACTGAAGCTAACACTTTTATACACACTCAGACAGCGGTATAAAGACACTTTACACACTTCATTTACTGCATTTTTTGAGAGTTTCCTTTACTTTTCGGTTTGGTTTGGTTTCGATTCGTTTCACTTGCGGTTCGCATAGCAAAGCGATAATTTCCCAGATACGTACTCTCCTCTATATAGACATCTCCATACCGACACGTTCATGGTCATTTGAGTCGTAAATCTGGAGACCCAGACACGCGTTTCGCGGGGTACAAAAAATTTGGGTTAGCACGAAATCGGATGGGTATATACCGAAAGCGGTCAACTTCAGAGAGTCGAGGGACCACAACAAGTGGCAAACAGTCAAAACATGGCCACCTACAAGTTGCAAATAAAAACTGGAAAAGCCCAAGTCGAAACCGAAACTGGATCAATTTATTAATGCACTTTGCGTTGGCGATGCAAATGCGCTTTTTACACGATTTTCTTCGGTAACTCGACGCCTTTTTAGCCAACCGGATTTCGTGCAAATGATGTGATTAATTCGAACCGAAATTGCTCACCGATAGCGCAGATAATTCGACTCATTGCCCAACACCTAAAGT